CTTAGATGACTCTTCTGTGTCAAAACAGATAAACACTGATCCCTGTAAAATTAAAATTGAAGTTATTAAAAACAAACAAAAAAAAAACAAAACTTCACCCAAATTCACTGGGGAACAATACCACTGGAATTGTTATAGTATACTTAATGTACCTTGAACTGCCTTTGCAGGTTTCTCCTCATCTGAATGTTTTCTATGGCACCTTTACCATTCAGCCACTCCTGAATCTCATCAAGGGTAGTTTCGAGAGGAAAACCTTTCTAGATGTGGGAAAACAACAGCAGCAAACAGTGTGTCACAACATGCATAAATACTTGCAGGGGAGACAATACACCTTGTTAATAGTTTTATATAAAAATTATACACTCACTTGTCAGTTTAATAGGTATACATAGCTTAAAGTAATGCAGACTAACAGTTCTACAGTAAATCCTTCATGAAGGTTGTAATGTTCAGTTTTTGTTAACCGTTTTAGTGAAGTGCTGATTCGTGTTATTTTGGTGGCTGCAGTTTAAACTTCTGTTACTCATAGTATCAAAGTTGAATCAACACCTCTTCAAGATGGTTTAAAATATGAATTCTGAAGTTTGCAAGCAATGTAAAAACTTACAATGTACACAGATTTGTGTTTAACAGCGTCTTTGTATTCGTCATTCAGTTCGGGTAAGGGTTTTTCTGGAGACCTCCTGACTTTAGTCTTGTCTTCGCTGAGTTCTAAGAGGCCAGTCTTTGATTTCTGGAGAGCTGCAACGATGACGCTGCATTCTTCAGTTAAAGACTTCAGTCTGGGAAGAGAATACAGACGTTTCAACAAATACTCTGAACTCAAAGATCCTGCTGCAGTAAGAGCGTGTGTAAGATACTAAAAAGGTGCATTCTTCACACCAGTGCAGTATACATAATATAAAGCCGGAGACGCTGCATCGCATCTACAGATGTTGTGTCACCATAATTGCTCACAGCTGCAGGGCTCAATTTGTAAGGGCCAATGACCCCCCCAAACCCTAAAAAATAAAAATCACACAGGCAACTGAATTATAAACTGCACTCCTCTTTCGAGTAATTAAGCTTGATATAAAGTAAACGTGCTGACTCACACTGACTTCTGTCTACATAAAACTCCAAGTATACAGACTTCAACCAGTAGGAGGATATCTGAGACTAACGGCCCTACATGCAAACCTCTTAAATTCCGCAAGAGGTGCGCCTGTTTTGTGTGCACATGCTGTGGCTAAATGTAATCTGGCTGGTATTGAGTGCATTTCAAAAGACAGGGTGAGGGCATGTGCTAATCTTGTCCTGCATGTCACGAGTCATACAATGGGTCCACAAACTGATTAGTCATCACTGTCTTTCTTTTCTTGCTCAGTCACATAACCTTCAGTTTTGCTCTCTTCAAATCAGCTACTAAAAAAAAAAAAAAAAATTCTCCACCTTGCCATTCTTCAGTGAACATTGCTTGATATTTGCCCCCATCTTGTTATTGAAGCTTCAGCATCTGATTCAGGCGTGTTGTTAAAGCAAGTATCCTCATCAGCTGTTAAAACCAACACACTCCGACCCCTATGATACAGCCTTTGAGATATTTACAATGATTTGGTTACTGTTGTAGACATAAGATGTGAGATATGACACGTTTTGGTCAGTGACAACCTCTGTAAAATTATTTAAAAACAAATACACCTTTACTACACTAGTCTAGTAGACAACTATTATAGGACTCCATGATGGTGTGGAGATTATAGCAGACATCCACCCAAGCAATGCAATAGTAGCAGTGTGATTGCAGGTAAACACTAACATTACCTACAAGCTCTGATAAATCCAGCCCATGTTATTTGCTGGACTAATCTGCCTCGTATTAAGATCCTCCTGCACATGTATGTCTCAATCATGATCTCAACATGCAAAAAGACAGCTACAACCTCTAGATGACAGGAGAGTCTGTCAGATCAATTCATGTCATTCAGCTTTCGTTTATTAATTTGCTGCAACTAAATGTCCGGTGTTAGCAGGTTAACTGGATATCTGTGCTCAAATTTCAGGCATAAAATATGAGTAGCAATTGTTTTACAACACTTAAAACCCAAAGAGAAGTACAACAAACCTGTTGAATTTAAGCATTGTCTCCAAAGTCACCCAGCCATCATCAAGTTGCAGTTGTTCTTTGAGAAACTTGTCTCTCGGAAGATTGTGATCCCCAAAGTAGTACTAGACATGGGAGTGAGAAACATTGTTAGCGCTGAATTTAACTGACTTTCACAAAATTCAATTGTTAATTTTAAAATCAGAATTACCTCTATTTGTCGTGCCACTTTAATCTCAAGTGGAGACATCTCTTCATTTTCTGCCATGATTAATCTGTGTAGAAAACAGTAACCCAAACAATTGGGAAAATGTCTCACAATTACAAAATGATTACTCTTTGATGAATACGATAACGTTCTCTAAATTTAAACATACTAACTATATGTGATTAAACAATTACTATATCTAAAGAAAAAAAACAACAGTTATCTAATCAAGTAATCATTTCAGTTATACATATTAAACAAAAATGCTAAATATTCTCTGGTTCCAGCTTCTCATACGGACGGTTATCGCTGCAAAATGGGAGTATTTTGGGGACAAAATGTGCAATTTGAGGATGCCACCTCGGGACCATTGATTGGAAAATTACAATTATATTAGTTTCCCTCCTAATACTTTCATATACATGATAAACATAAATGTATCTGCATTAGTTGATTCTATCAATTACTTGGTTTTTGAGCACTGCCCCAATCCTGGCAGGATTCCTTAAGTGTTTGTTGAAGGTTTATTAAAAAATAAGTTAAATATCATTAAAACTGGCCATTCTAGGCTCTCTGGACTATTCAGTCTAACCTCGACATTTGATAAGTTTTTACAGATTGTGCACACAGCAACTTCCATTCCACTAATTCCCTTCACCTTCATTACATTGAGGATATTTGAAAAATGTCTGCAAATTACCTGCAAGGCCAGATACCAAAAAAAGGTTTGCTTTTTTTTTTGCTGAGATTTTAGTGAATCAGCATTTTATAGCAGTCTAAAGATCTGAACTCTACCTTGACATGTGCCGAAACAGCAGCTGCTGGCTGGAGTGAACTGTGTATTATTCTTTAATCCATTTATAATCTGTTGCAGTTTAATAGCAAAAAATAAGTACCTAAAACAACAGTAAGCTGCTGCTTGACGTTATCTATCTTGACCCAGTAAATTAAATCTAAGAAGCTAGTTTAAGACGAAGTAAATAGGAAACAGTTTTCACGTATCCTGGAGTCATGCTGCTGCTGCTGCTGCCGCTAGCTTGATGGCTAACGTGCTAGCATAGCTTAGCTTACATGCTGCAGCAGTGCACCGGCCACGCTGTGCCCGTAACCTGAACTTACACCCAAAGCAAAGACACACAGCTTATTGAGTCACACACTGACAGTAACGTTACGTGTTTTATTCAGTGTGACATATAGTTAGCCAGAAATCACTGTAGTACGTAACGTTAATGTTAAATTAGTCATTTACACTCAGCCTAACTCCATTCTAGCAAAAGCATACTGTTCAAGTGTGCTAGACGCGGATGTCTCACGTTTTTTACTCTGTTCTTTCGTGAACCCATAGAACATTTGCAAGATAATATAAAAGAAACCACCTTTCACATCACCATGAAAAGTTATACTTAACGTTAACGTACGTTGAGTCGCTGTTAGCACCAGATGTAGCTGTTCAAATCAAAAGTCCTCACACTTTTCTGCTCGCACGTTGTTGAACTGCGTGCTACAGAGCCCGCCGAGGACCAAAAAGAGATCGTCTCTCCAGCAGGCTCTGCAACAGTGTAGCTGCTGTTATTGGCTGCTACAGTATCGACATGAGATGATCTGTGTGATGAAAGCCTCAGGGTGTCGCTGTGATTCTGTTTAACCACCTATGGTAACCATACATACAACATAATGTTACTCTATTCTAATATAATATAAATTTACTTATAATTAACTCTTTTAATTCTATGTGTGTACCATGAAGGGACTACAAACTAACATTTTGTTGTATAACCATGTGTTGTACAATAATTAAAAGCTACCTTGATGTAACTGCAGGACAGCAGTGAGACAGTGACATGCTGTGATTTATGATTTAGCTATTGTTTAATTTTACCAATACCACAAATATGTTATTTGTTCTTATTTCCTGTTCATTTATAATTAAAATGTATTTACTGATACTGCATTTCATTTTACAACCCTTTTGTAATATGATGATGAAATTTACCTTGTACCCGATACCCTGGATATACTGTATTTCATTTTGTTTGTTTTTAGCATGTTTTTATTTTATCTATTTGTATGTGTGCTTCTTTTCATAGGTTTATAGGTGAAATTGTATTTTGTTGATGTTGTTGATGATTGGTGTGCCCTTTAAAAAAAGATGTTGCTGCAGTACTAATGCATCAGCATTTTTGTCAGCCCATTAGATGAAAACAAATTAAACAACAAAATGATCAAACATGAGGTGGCTTTTTGCTGTTTTCACTAATGGAGTGCCATCTTTTTTCTAAACACATCGCAGTTATCTAGACAAAACACCTAACTTAAATTCAGTTTGGAACAAGCATGTATGTTGTCATATATGATTTGTAACATGTTTTATACTTTTTAATTATTTTATTCTATATTTTAGTTGTTTTTTTAAAAACTTATTGAGATGTTCTGTTACGATGTTCATACCAATATGTCTTTTGATATTGCCTTGTGTTTCTATTATATATCGTCTTAATGGCTTTTTAAGACAGATATAAAGCATTTTTGAATGCTTTGTCGTTGAAAGTTGCACAAAGTAATGTCCCTTGTCATTACACTACAAGCAATATCAATAAACTCCAAAACTCTTTATATAAAAGTGGACTGTCTATATCCTAAATGTAACATCTAAAGGTTACATCTCAATGTGACTTTACATAAGATGTGATTAAACATATAGTGCAATGTACCTTATACAGAACTCACTGATTAATTCTGGCAGAAAGCACATCATAAGGTTAGTGATTTATTAAATCAAGTAAGGTTGTACAGTTCTATTTAAAAAGGAAAACATTGTTAGGAGTGCCCTCTAGTGCATCAGTAGTCTGAGGTGGTTTCTGTGTACATGTAAAGTTCATCTGAATAATACTCAAATAAGGTCACCTTTCAATTTTCAGTCGTTCCATTCAGTCTATTTAAACAGATACACAAAAAATCACCAGTAAGTGTGAAGCCCCTGAGTTTTAAATGAAATGCTTGTTCTTTGTTATATTCACAGTTTGGCAAATGTGTAGCTGTCTAAAGGCAGTTATCCAGTGCAAAACGTGGGCTAACTTTGCATCTTGTGTTATAGTGTAACTGACATTTGAACACTTGACTGACACTGACAGAATCCAGTTCACCATTTGATTCATTTGGCACAAACTGACAACATTTGTGATATGGGTTTGACACTAAACACTGAAAACACAAACACATCCATGTGATCTGGTGGGGCTGGGAAGAGTCCCCACAATCTCCCAAGAGTCCAGCTGAGGGTCATATTTCTCAATGCTCTGCAGATATGTCCCTTTTGAGTAGGAATATCCCCCTGTTACATAAATACAACCATTTATTACTGCTGCCCCACACTCCATCCTCCTCTCCTTCATCACTGATACTGGCCTCCATTCGTCTCTCTCTATGTCGTAGCAGTCTGCGACAGTCGTCTGTCCACCCACCAAATACAGCTTGTTGTGGAGAGACACAGAACACAGCCCGTACTCTGAAAACAGAGGATTTCAAATCAAAATACAGTATTCTGCATATTTTTATTATTTCTTCTCATTTTTCTCATACCTGGATGGGGAGTTATTGTTATGATACTCCACTCATTGACATCTGGCCTGTAAACTTGGATTTTTTCATAGGTGCAGTTTCCTCTGTATCCATAGTGACCTCCGGTCACATAGATTTTATCTCCAATTACACAGGCAGTGGCATTTCCTACACCTTCAAAAGAAACAAAGGTTATACATATCATTTGATCAGTCACTCACATATATAAATGTTAATGACTTGCATTAATGACCGGCATTAATTTTTAATTATAGCTTTCAGCTATATCTAGGTAACTCAATCATCTCCATGATAACTGAACTCCATATACTGATGACAGACCCAAGATGTGTCTGAAAGCCCCTAAGTCTAGTTAGTGGACCTTGGGTTAAGATTTTTTTTGTTAAACTGTTATTCCCAAAGTCGAGAATGAACCCTTAAACTCATAAACATCAGTAATCAGCAGTTAAAAATATATCTTATCAGAAAAGCAATGATTTATTGAGGTTCAAAGTTGACCTTGGAAACAGCAGTTGAGAAAATAATCACACCAAAGGTTCCATTTAAAACCTGCTCAGGAGCCTTTAATCAATTCACGTGATCTTCTTCATCTGATGGAGGGTTGAGAATGAACACTGAAATTCAGCTTTTAAGCCAACATAGGCACAGAGTCTTTACATGGCTCAGAAAAAACGGGACGTTGAACATCTACAGTGGTGTGACATCTAGGCAAACTCCATCTGCTGATGAAGATAATGTGATATGATCAAAAGCTCCAGGACAGCTATTAAATTGATCCTGTAGTGACATTGTTTGCTCAACATGAATCTACTCTTTCTTCTTCCTCTTCAGTTTATGGGAAACATCACTTTATATTTTCCATACCTTGGATCATTTTGGCCACAGGGAACCATTTCTTTTTCAAGGGATCATAAAATTCTGTCTCTTGCTCTGGAGCTCCTCCTCTGTAGCCTCCGATGGCATAAATACAGCCGTGCAAAGCCACACAGCAATGGTAGTATCTAGCTGTGTTCATGGGACAACCCTCAGTCCATTCATCATAATCACAGTTATAAATTGAAACTGTGTCCAGAGCCTCAACAGTGTTTGTCCTGTAACCGCCGGTCACATAGATATTTGCTCCAAGTATACTGACGCTGTAGCTTTCTCTTGCATGGCCAGGCATGTCTTTTCCTTGCACCCAGGTGTTGCTGACAGGATCCCATATGTGAACTTCACAAAGAGGGTGCCAGTAGTATCCACCAATGACATACATGCTGGAAGACATTTTTCTGCTTACAGACACCTTCTTGCCATTGGGCCTTAAAGCCTGAATGATCATAGATTTTAATTCCCCTTCACTGTTCAGCAAGCATTGTCTGTGCACATCCAAAGTGGCCTTGAAGTGAACCTCATCCAGGTCCAGATGGATAGTGTGCAGCAACTCTGCAGCATAGTGAACGCGATTATCTAAGTCATGGGTTACCCATCTGGCCACGGCATCTATCAACACTTCATCCTTCTGCAGGGTGAGGTGGTTCTGAGCAGCCAGAACCGAGCTCATCTTCTCATGATCCAGCTCTAGGAACTCTTCCTGCTGAATGAGCTCCGTGAACCTGTTCAGCGTCACCCTGCGGGCCTCCCTCTCCAGACCGGGACACAGGTGGAGCTCAGCAAACGCTTGCATCCCCAGGCAGTTGTCCACATCCAGGAGGCGAATGAGAAACTCCTCACACGCTCGTTTGACGGAGATGAACTGCAGGAGGTCCGCAGCCTCCAGCAGGCTCTGCACATTGCTCTCGGTGATGCACACCTGAGCTGTGTACACGTAGTTAACCAGAGCCCCCAGGACCCCGCAGTCTACCCCGGTTAGTTTGATGACGCGGTTCGACCTCTCCCTCATGTCAGCTGTGAACATGACTTTGAAATAGGAGCTGCGGGCTGACAGTAGCGCCTTGTGGCAGTGAAACACCTGTCCGGACTCGCCACATTGTAGAGTCACGTCGGTAAACAGGCCGCCGACGTAGAAATGCCTGAGAGCATCTAGGACCTCTGCTGGGTGTTCACTGTCATAGAAGTCGTGTGTGTAGATTTCAGCTTGCATATGTGACATGGTCTCTGGAAGAAATACAGGAGGATTTGTCCTGTTGCACAACCTGCTGTACAGAAAAGCAAAGCAAAATCGTGGTCCCATCTCTATCAATAATTAACTGCATGCCCCTTTATTACCATTTAACTCATGGACAGAAGGCTACACTCAGTAAGAGAAACAATAGGCTTACCTCTCATCCTATTTGCATGAGTAACCCGTGCTGTTCGCTGACCCTCGGCAATGTAGGTCTACTCACTTTGAACGCTCCTCTCCAAAACACATGAACCTCAATTTAGCTCCTGTGGGACGATCGCAGGCAGCTCTATCCTATTTTGGTATTTTTGTGCAGCGGCCAGCCCCCTCCTCCTCCTCCCCTGAAGCAAGTCTCCACAAGCAGGTCCTTGACAAAACCAAGCAACCATGCAGAGGAATCACCCAACGCCGCTATTTTCTCTCGGAGCCTAAATATAACCCCTCCATCCACAGTCTCGTGATGCGCTCATAGACGGCGTATTAGTGTATCCAACAAGCAGGAGAAGCATCACCAGCAGAATGCAAATCAACCGAGCACCTCCTTCAATACAGCACAACAAAAACACTTTCCACTTTCCACTCCCCCCCCAATTCTTGCGGTTGCCATGGTATTTTGAACCTAGTTTCAGTGTGACCGGGGCTTTACCTAATCCTAACACGGATTAACAGCACAGAGCACAATATTCATCAATGCACAAGATCTGAGATATGGAATTCAAATACACAGAGAGAATACACAGTCTTGACATACAGCACTTAACCTAAATGTATAAAACCGTTGTGGAAATATACTTAAGGTCATTAAAGTGACAGTGAAAATAGGACTAGGATAGTATCAGTAAAATGTATTTTTAGTGTCAAGAACAGTCATAGGCCCTACTAAAGAATGGCCCATTTGAATAGTGTTTTACAAATTGTTGATGTTGTTGGTCTATGTTGCATTAGTGTGGGACAGTGGTGGAAGAAGTAGCCTACAAAATTGTACATTGTGCAAATGTACTTATTTACATTCCTCCACTGCGGTTAGGTAGTTTTTCTGGACGTGCATCATAGTATTTTATGCGATCAAATACTATAAACTATTGGCAAAAAAAATAACAAGTGTTCTCTCTCGGACACAAAAACTGGACATTTTAAACTTTACAAAATAGGATTTACACTGCAGAGCTTCTGTATGCTTAAGATACTGGTAACTTAGTGTAGTACATTCCCTTTTAAAATGTAGTAAGTGAAAGTGTAAAGTTCACTGAATAAAAACACTCAGCTACCAGTTCTTGAAAAATGTTCTTACACTGTTTTAGTTAAGTGTGCTTTATTTTACATCTTGGCTTTAAAAAGCTCAAACAACAAACTGAACAACACACAACACTGAAACATTTGATTTAGTTTTAGTGCAGTTAAAACATTCTAAACACAGGAATGTTATCAAAATGCAAGTGTTCAACTTCTAAACAAGTTGTTAGTTGTAAACGTTAAGGCCAAGGAGGCTCAATTATGTTAAGACACTCTTTGAGATTTCCAGATGCCGTTGCTTCTGTAATTTAAATGCTGAGCTGTGCTGCCTCCTTAACCAAAGGCTTCAAGGCACTGAGGTCTCGCAGGAGAGAGGACACCCCCACACAATACCACAGATCCCCAGTGCGGTCTGTGGGAGCACTGAAAGACTCAATCTCCACTCCTTCTGTGTCCAGAAGTCCTAAACAAAGAACAATCGAAAAGAGAAAATAGGTTTTTAAAGAAAGTCATAACTCAATTCACAATTCATCCTCAGGTTAAAAAAATAAATCAAAAAAAGTGGGGAAAAATCTGCCTCACAGTTTTTGCCTTGCTCACAGCAATGTTTGCTTTATTTTGAATTATTCCCAACATTAACCACTTGAGCCCTCATGACCACCTAAATTGCCCCTTTAGATGCTTTAAAGTAACCTACATTTTGTCCAACATCACATACTGTACTGTGTCTGTCTGTCCATTGCTTCACTGACTGCTATATTTAATCTTTGAGGAGGCTGATAGGCTACATCTAAAAGAATAATGTGTGTTGTAATTAAATTATTGTACCTATTAAAAAAAAATAAAGGTACAATATCTAAGAATTTAGTCTACGCTCCGTCTGTCGAATTCATACTCCAAAAGAAAAGTGGTGGGGAGCATGTCACATATCAGGACATAACAGCTGACTAAATCCCAACTGGACAACAGAACTGGAGCCGGGTGAGCGAGGGGCAACAGAACCAGGCAAAACAGCCTCTGAGTGATCAAGGCCAGACCGGAACCAAACACAGCCGCTGACACAGAGGCCAGAAATTTTTAATTTCTTGACATTTTGTGAGTTTATTTTGTTTATTGCACACTGAGAGCAAACTCACCACACGCACACATCTACCAGCTGAAAACTTCAGGGACAGGCCTGAGCTTTACTGTGGTATTATGAGACAGTATGGGCCGGAGCTAGCTCTTTAGCATGCTAACTCCAGTAGATATCTCTGCCACACAAAACGTAGATGTCTTTGACCCAACGTCACAACTGTTACTTCTTCACATTGTGTTGATAATGTTAGTTTCTTTTTAGATTTTTTTCAAATGTTGGCCATATCTTACACACTGTACCTTTAAGATTCAAGAAGAGTGTGTTGATACAGAACATTCTAACATCTTCAGTGTTATAGGAGTGATTTCCCCCTTAACATTACTGGGCAATAGCATACTTTTAAAGTTTCTTACCAGCCACTGAGGATAGGAGCTGAGGATTTGCAGAGGCCTTGAAGAACAGCAGATTTCCAGTGAGAGAGACCGGCTGTCTAAACACACTCTCGCTCAGCTCCAGCAGGACTGGCACACCACCTTGAACTGAACCACTGGCTTTGTAGCTGCTGCCGTTGGCCATGATCTCCACCTTACACACCCCGCTGGCAGCCCCGTCAGATGCACAGTGGCTCTGGTTTACCTGAAGATTCAGTTCACATGTATAAAAAGATTATTTTCTAAAAAAACAAAACAAAAGACACACGCTCGTTGTTGTCATGTGCCTTTTGCCACAATGAGTTTGTCGTACCGTGATTCCAGACTCCTTTGCTAGGCTCAGCACATTGATGAGGTTCAGGCAATGACCAGACTCATGATTCAGCAGTCCAACAAGTACTGATGAAGTCATATAACCAGTGGAGGACTTCATGCAATCCCCTGGTTTGAAGAAAACAGTATATAGTGTTACTTTCCACTAGTAGGAAGTCAAACATTTCAAAGCAAAATTTTTTGAAAAAAACATTAACAATAGAAAGTGAATCTTCATAATTTACTGCAAAAGCTTCGGTATAAAATACATCATCTGTTTCACAAGCGGACCACCAGAGGGAGCTATGATATGACCACCTTTCCCTTTCTGGTTGCACAACTGGATAGAGAGTAGCTTTACCTTCAGTAGTGATTTGGACATGGCTGAACGGTTTCTTAGAAGCAGTGCATGACTGCAGCACAGCTCCGACAGCTTCTCCGAGTTTGATCAGTAGGTGAGATTCCTGGGAGAATGTGCTGGCCAAAACCTGTGCGTTCACCTACAATAAAGGAGAAGAGGTGGAGTCAGAGTGCTTTCGTGAACTGAATGTGATCCCAAATTTTGAAATCTGTAGCTGAATCAATATTAAAATGTCAATATAATTTTAATGGAAGGCTAAGAGAAGACTCAGTGTTAACACCATACACAAATAAGCATTTGAGACCCATATTAAAGCCATGTTTTGTTTACTTATAATTCTACCAGTTTGATCAGAGACAAAAACTATTGATGTAGATCAGACACTGTCACCCAAGTGTGTACATGTTTTCTTTGAAAGTTTATTCTTGACATTTCAATCAAACGTAAATCAACATGAATGAAAAATCCTTAAGAAATGCTCAGACAAATGGACATTGAACATCTACAAATTTTATTTCCAACTTCCATACCTCATGTTTTTACCCTTGAATAGAGGAGCAGCTGATCAAAATGATGAAAAAACCTGTTTAACCTTTATAACCTGTAGTTATTTAATGAAAATATACTGGAATTACTGTAGACGGCATTAGGACATAGTGTGAGACACGCTAAGCTATAGAGAGTCCAACAGTTTGTAATTAATGTCTGCCTAAATTGTGCATTATGTCCCAAAGCATAGTCTGAAAAAAAATGGACGTGTAAAATCTAAAAAAGTGACTTGTGCAGAGACAGCTCCTCATAGACACATCAGATGTGTGTATTAAAGTCTGAGAGTCTGTTGAACTACTTTAGCGACTCCATGACCAAATGCCAACATGAGGCCACTTGGCTAATATCTTCTATAAATGTTAACTATAAAATACTTACTTGGAAGATTATTAGGCTTCGGCAGATGTTTCAACACTGTTGTCTGACACCTCTGATTGTATCATATCCCCAAATACTGAGTAATAGGTAAGAGATTTCTTTGAGATGGAATAAGCTGCAAATTGAGTTTGGTAGAGGGCCGTAAAGAAGTCTCTCAAGATAGCTACAGGAACTGAAGCAGTATTTGCATTTGTGTAAATACTTATTTGTTTCTCCATTTACCTCTACCAATTTTTACTTGTCATAGGGAGGACTACTCACCCAGTGAAGACAGTTGTTTAATGTTTTCTGTGGCTTGTGCTTAGAGATAACTTTCAGACAGAAAGCCTGCATTACAAACTGGGGGTTTGGAGTTTGAAAGACGTTGGCATTTTCCAGGCATGGAAGGTCTAATAAAAGATGCTACCCAGTTGCATTAGTGGAAGTGTAGGACTCATTGTTTTTGGAGCTTTAACCATTTTAGGGACTAGAGGTCACGATCTCAGTTTGTTTTATTGCTTTTTTCTTTCCCCACTTTACAGAAGTGCAGTACCAAATCGCTGTAGTGCACCTTTAATATGTTCTGTAACAAGGAAATCTCAAGGACTGAGTGGTAATTGCTTTGAAAATGTACTGAATAGAACTTACAGCTCCAACCAGCTTCTTGCCCTTCACCATGTCCACAATCTGCAGAGAGATGTCCTCCCCACAACGGGCCTGAGCCTCCTTCGTACTGGCTCCCAGGTGAGGACAGCTGATGACATTAGGATGGCTGACCAGTGACCAGCTCTTAGGAGGCTCCTGCGATCAAACATAAACGCAAAGATGAAGGCTTTTATTCCATTTAATGGAGTGATTAAAGACACAATTTGATTTTTAAAAACAAACTGCTATAGGTACATACAGTAGTATGGAGTTATTTGTGTGCTCCAATAACCTTGCCTCAACAAAGACATCAAGCCCAGCGCCTCCACACTGTCCGGACTCCAAAGCTCTGAGCAGAGCGGCCTCGTCGATGATACCCCCTCGTGCACAATTCACAACCTTCACCCCTTTCTTGCATTTAGCAAACGATTCATCATTAAGCAAACCTTGGGCAAAAGAAAAAAACAATTGAAAGAGATATTCCACAATTACAGTACAATTTCTGACAGCAATATAAATCAGGAGAACCTCTGTAAAACTCACCGACAGTAGAGGGCATTAGGGGAGTGTGGACAGTAATATAGTCACACTGAGGCCAAAGCTGCTCCAGAGACATCTGCTCCACCCCCCAGCTGGCTGACACCTCAGGAGGAGTGATTGGATCATAGCCGATAGTCTAAGAAGAGAGAGAGAGGGGGAAACTTGACACGTTTGTTTCATCTAAATATTAAAGTACAATTAACCATGGAGATATGCGACTACGCAGTTTTGTCATGTATAATCTGGTTACATACCTTCATGCCAAATGATTGCATTCTTGAAGCGACTTCCTTTCCTATTCTTCCAAGTCCAACTATTCCGAGTACCTTGCCATACAGTTCTGCGCCCATGAACTGTAAAATCAGCAACAAAACAATGACGCCGTCTACGAGACCCAAAATTGCACAGATCCAAGCGTCACATCGGATTAGTGATGACTGGCTGAACAACGGGGGCGACCATGCAACAGTAATCGCTTTGTGTGGCAACAATCATTCAAACAGCACTCAGGGGCAAACTAAAAATCTTTGTTTACCTTTTTCCGATCCCAGTTCCCTTGTTTCATCGACATTGCAGCTTGAGGCACATTTCTGGAAACAGAACGGCAGTTACAGTACTTCAAATCAATTAAAAAGACTGAGCATGTTGACATAAAAACATGAATCATCTTGCCTTGAGAGGCTCATCAGCAGGGCACATGTCAGCTCAGCAGCACTGATCGTGTTACCGCTTGGCGTACTGGAGAAAACAGTCTACAGTTAATGGACAGTACATTATATTGAAAGCAGATTTGTGCGTAGAGTGGAAACTTACTTCATGACAATAATACCCTTTTTGGTGGCAGCATCAACATCCACGTTGTCCACACCAGTCCCAGCTCTCCCAATGATTTTGAGATTACTAGCAGCATTGATGACATCAGCCGTTACCTTTGTTGAAGATCTAACCAAAAGGCCATCGTAGTCCTAGGATCGTGAGAAAAGCACATGGTTGCTCTCATGGTGTTATATAGCTGCGGTGAATCTACTCAAGGCTAGATTAGCAACCATGCACGCCTATTGTGCCGGGCCGTCAAAGTACGTCCACTAAAAGTACTTGTTTCTGTCACTGACAGGCTCAGAATATTTTTAAAAGTGTCTGATTACATTATGGAAAGGATCCCTAAAACAGATAGACCTAAGAGTGAGGTCCTTTTTTGTTTAACCAGAAACAGTCACTACATCGCTCTCAAAGCCACCAGACTCCCTTGACCAAAACAGTAATTTTGCCTCTCTGGTTGACTGCTGCCTCGATTGGTTAGTATGTGTTATTTTGTGACTTAGTCACACAATAATACAAAACAGACTAACCGACTAAAGCAGCAGTAGATCAGCAACTCCCATGTTCTGTGAGGTAAAATTATAAAATTACTGTTTTTATCAATGGAGTCTGGTTAAACAAAAAGAATCTTACTCTTTAGGTATCCTTTCCATAATGTCAGACACTTGTAATAGCAATCTGATCCTGTCAGTGGCAAAAACAAGCACTTTAGTGAATGTACTTTGATGGGGAACAATTGCCCGCAATTATAACATTGCAGCCCTGTTTCGCTGCTCCCATATGTATCCCACCTGCTCAATACTGGACCACTTTTGAAAAATGTTGTCCAATTAGTCACATAGACACAAAAACAAGGTGGTTGAAAAAGGTACCCTTTGGTACCCCCTCTGGTTTCTTTACTCCTCTATTTCTTTGGTTTGTGGACATTGTTATCTGGGGCTTTGGATTTTTTTTTGTTTACCATTTTCTGACATTTTATAGACCAAACAACTAATCGACAGATTCTATCGGCAATGAAAGTAAATCAGTACTTGCAGAACTAAATTCAGTGATGTGCAGTCTATATTTATACAAGATAATTCTGTAACCATGGCAACATGTATGCAGGTCAGCTCATCAGTGTGGAAATTTTCTGACATGTGTGAGTGAAACGCAGCAACAACACAGGAACTGTCCCCTTGTAGGAACCATAGACTGTATATAAAAATGTAGACATGGTTTCAGAGACTTAACGGGTTGGAGTAAAAAAAGTGTGTGTGTGTGTGTGGGGGGGGGGGGTTACAGGTCACTGTTGTCCCAGGGCCTAAGAGTGTTTAAGTCCAGCCCTGAATATACAGCAAAACACTACAATGCATTTGGAACAGTTGCAAGAATTTTTAATCTGAAAAATCTAAGTTGTACAAAGCAAATATTTGTTCCTGTTTCTGTGCATGTCAGTTAAAGCTGCCATTCTGCTCTCCATGTGGCACTCAGGAGAGAAAGTGATGAGGGAACCGGTAAATCTAGGGATGAGTTGCATCAGCTTCACAAGGGGCGGTACGAACTTAACCAATTCTCTCACCTCAGCCCAGCAAACAGGTTACATGTCAGACTCTCATTGCCGAAAATCAGAGCGCACACACCTGACGTTAAAGTTTGTATGGGAAAAAACAGCAGGTGCTATTTGGTTTTTGCCTCATAAACACATTTTCCCCAGGACGTGTGCAGCCGCAAATCCCGCGAGCTTTTAAGAAGATGCTAGCTAAAGCGAACAAACTTTTTAACAAGATTTGCAACCATGTCGCGTAGAAAACAACCTGCGAAAGCAGATATGTAACTTAATAAGGTTACTGCGTGCCAACCTTACCTTAATCTCCGCCATCAGTTCATCCTTTTTCATATTCAGTTTTTCCGTGACTAGGATGCCATTTTCCTCCAGAATCGTCTTACAGCGGGGATCAAGACTTTCACTGACTAAAACAGTCTTGATGGAAATCGGGGCCATCTTGGGGTTTTTTCTCCGGGTTGCTTGTTGGAGGGTAACTGCAGCTGGACGTCTTCTCCCTTTGTGAAGTGAAGTGAAGTGATGGACATGGGGAGTTTTTTCCCCCTCTGTTGGTTTTGAATGGTTATCTCGGATTTAAGACAGCCCCCTTTCAAAGTAAAACCCGCCTCTTGTGCATCTCCTGCTCTGACGTAACATGCAGGAGGCCGTCTGTACTGGGGACCAGTTTGGACCAAATGCTGTTACCAGTTTGGGATGCTTTATCAGGCTTTTTTTTTTACTTTAGTTAAAATAGCAATAGGCCTATCACAAGTAGCCTACTCCATAATGCAAGTAGAAAATCTGGCATTCAGCAATATCAGAATAAAAGTATTCTGCTTTACATACAAAAAAATCACCTCTGTGTGATTTAATATTATTATGGGGAGCTCATTTAGCAATGCCAATGGTGGAATGTAACAAAGTACATTTACTAGTAGACTTAAGTAAGTAAATCCAGGTACTTGAGTATTATGCAACTATACTTCTACTTCACTCATTTCAGAGGCAAATGTTTTTTCTCTACTAGGCTATAGGCCCAGGCTACTTGTCTGACAGCTTTAGTTACTAATTTTTAGATAGCAATTTTCAATACCCTTCCTGTCTAGTGAAAAACATGGTGTGTTTGATTATAAATGTTTGTCATAAACTGAAGGATTAAATGTTCCTTTATGGGTTGAGAAAATGCTCCTACTCCTTAAGATAAATAAACTATTTAAACCCCCTCTTGGGGGCAGCAGTAATGTTAATCCAGCTAAAAACACTTATGCATTTAGTAATTTTGAGTCATTTCTTAGATACTTTTTTTCTTTAAATACATTCTTCTGATAATACTTACTTATGTTTTGAATGCAGGACTTTTACTTGTAGTGGATTATTTTCAGTCTTCCACCACTGAGCAATGCATCATATTTTATAAACTCATCGTATGTTTAGTGTGCTAACTAGTGACTATAGTTAAATGTAGCTGAGTTAAAAGTACTTTATTTATGACCGAAATGTAGTGGAACAGAAGTATTAAGCAGCACAAAATGTAAAAACTCAAAGTCAAGTACGCATGACAAAACCCCCCCATATCCTTTAATAATAATAATTCATTTTCAGCCTTAATTTAACAGACGCTGTTCATCACCTGACTCATTAGGCTGCACATGACAGCACCCCCTTACCTTAGTGTCAGCTCAGTAATTTGACACAACTGTCAGAGTCATACTATTATATCTGCATTTAACACTAGATTTTAAAACACATGTAAATTATTTATGTGCAGAATCCATATTAGTGTCCTTACAATACATAAATATGTTTAGTAGTAGAAGACCAAAAGAATATCTAGAGTCAAATATGAACCTATAGGAGTTTTGTTATTCTGCCATAAACCAGACAGTCTTTTCCCTCCTGTAATACCACCCTGCTCCAAGTGAATTTAGGAATATGCAACAACCCCCCCACACACACACACAAACAAAAATTACTGGACCCTCTTCAAGACATGGTCTCAAATAAAGTAAGCTTAATGAATGTATCATGTCATTTCATGCTGTATTTTAGTTGTGTACATTTCAATTTAATTAGAAGAAATTTAATTGGAAACACAGTGAGCATGGAGATTTCAGTTGCATATTCTTTCCATTCCATCCAATGATCCAGACTAAATATCTTGTACAGTATACGGAGTCTCTAGTGTCTGACACTGGGTTCGATGTTGTGCTTCTAAACGCCTTGGTAATAAGTTCATGATACAAGTTACAGATTCAATTTAATCTGTGCCAGAAGCAGAAAAGACAACCCTAAGATATTGTGTTCCTCCTCCATGTTTGATGCTGTTCTTCTTTTTAAAGGCTTCATGTTCTTTTCTGTAAACACACATAGAGATGATCTGGCTTTCGAACACCCTCCTCTCTCCAGGGAGTCCTCTGTGTTCTCTACACCCGAGTCCCTTTTGAGTGAGTTTGTGATTGATGGCGCAAGTTAAAATTGTCTCAAGGGTAGATTTAATATATTGGGCAGTTGATGGCAGCTCTTTCCCTTGCATCCGAATCCAGAGAGGTTGGCTCCAGTGCCATGGGTCTTCTTGTCATAGTAAGCGCATAATAACATGATGGCTCTGTTGTATTTAAGTCCCCAGTAAGCTGTGACAGTACATACAATACCAAGACCCTAAAACTGAAGCAATTAAATGGAATTCAGCCATCATTTATTTTATTGTTCACACCTGTTTTTCTTCTTTGACATTTAATTTTGTCTCCTGCAAGAAAAGGCTGATCATGAACATGGTGGACACAGGAACAGGTCTGTGGAAATGGACTTGCAGCTGTGGGGTTGTCCATGCTCTGCTGCAGTCAGACACACTGACACAAAACTGCAGATTAGTAATCTGCAGTTCTCTATTTAAAGTTGAATTATTTTTACATTACAGAAACCTGCAACTCAACACACAAGTTTAATAAAAATTAAAGGAATCCCGTGCTTGATACAATTATGTCTTAAAACCAATAAAGGTGACCTGCGCTGACCCCTGAATTTTCTGTAGGATTTTGGATTTGTGGTTAGCACTGTCACCTCACAGCAAGGGGTTCAAACCTTGCTCCCTTTCTGTGTGGAATTTGCTTTGGCTTCCTCCTACCGTCCAAAGAGAAGCAAGCTAGGTTAATTGGTGATTCTAAATTGCCCATAACGAGTGGTTGTTCTTGTCTGTGTGCCCTGCGATGGACTGGCAGGGTGTCCCGGTGCCAGCTGGGATTGGCTCCAGCCCCCCAGCGACCCTGTACACAGGAGAAACGGTTGACAATGGATGGATGGTAGGGATTTATTTTCAAGACAGAGATTTCTGAAGGAAGCTTAAGAAGGTCAAGTTCTTGTCAGCTTTTACAGAGGAGCAATAGAAAGCATCCTGACTGAAACCATCACTACACACAGCCCAGGGCTGGAGGGCTCTGCAGCGGATGATTAAAACTGCTCAAAAGATCATTGGTACCCATCTCCCGAGCATCATCAATGAGGTGCCTACGCAGAGCTCAAAGGGTACTAAAGGACAGTACCTGTCCAGCCACAGCCTGTTCACCCTGCTGCCTTCTGGTAGGAGATACAGAAGTTTCTGCTGCTGCACCACCAGACTGCAGAGCAGCTTTTCCCCAAACTATCAGACTTTTAAACTCAAACTCATCCTCAGCGACTCCACTGTGTATATATATATATATATATAAAATAGTAAACAGATATATATATATCTGTTTACTATTTTTATAATTGCTTTTATATTGGGCTACTGTATATTGTCTGCTACGTAGCAGAAGGGAGTTACAAACTCAATTTCACTTTATAACCTGTTGTAATTTGACAAATCTACATTGTACCCTGTATTTTGTTTTGTTCCACCACAAAGCAAAGAAATACTTGTGTTAAATTTCAGTGTTTTTATGGAAGAAACGTTGCACTAAGCTTTTTGAAAAAAGTACAACGCTACCAACAATTTTGGTCAGGATATAGATGTCACATACAATCATTTTTCTCTGAAATGCAGGTGTGTATTTTTACCTGGGCGCCACCTGTCGTCGATCAACGGAAAGGCTTCAGATTGGTTCAAGGGTTGCCTGGATACAACGCAACAAATGCGGACCGTCACCTCACACGTCTGAATGCAAGCTGGGAAGAGTTAACATTAGCTTCACTTTTCTTCGTTAGCTGTTTTATTTGGCTCTTATATTTAGTATTTCATTAGCAAGTTAGGTCATATATCGGATAAAAATGACATCGGTGGTTCAGTACGGCCGAAGAAGAGGCTCCAGTAAGAGAGGTGAGAGCTGAAGAGAGAGTTTTGTTTTACACTTAGTGAAGGTAAAGTTAAGCTCGCTGGTAAAGCTAACAGACACTGTATAAGTCTGTGAAGGCAACAGCAGTGTTGAAATAATATGACATTAAACCCGAAAAATGGGTTTTAGTTTAATTATTATGCATCCATGTAATGTCAAGCCCACCAGTAAACATTTAACCTCTTTCAAAAGAAAACAACTTCCTGTGCAATTTCATATTTAATAATCTTGAAAGTAATGTACAGTATTATTGTTGCATTTGTTTACATTTCCAAATCCCCCTGCACAACCTTTTTATTTACAGTTTAACATATCATAAAACTAAGACAACTCATAAATTGGCGGCAGTACAGTAGCCTACTATATTTAAGCTGTATGATCTGATTACCTCTGTATTCAGGGACCATGCATAATAAAATTTAACATGTATACGATTCCATTGCATGTGTAACTTTACACATTACACATAAGTGGTTTCCCAGAATCACCCTATAGTGTGCTCAATGGTAGCTATGGCCCTGCTCTTATGAACACATAACAACCTTTGTTTGGCACACAGCAACTACTGTCCCTTCCAACATGTAACAAATATATGCATCCCATACCATTGTGGAGAAAAGCATGTAAGATATGACTATTTTAAAATTGCATAAAACACAAACTAATGGTGCATATTTTCAGTCCCCTAATACACTGTGTTCTAGATGTAGTGTTCGATGTACCGGAGGATCTTTGTAGTGTAATTTCCTCCTTTTTTTAATAGTGTCTTCAGCCGAGGAAGCCAGCAGGATGATCCAACCACCAGACCTCCGACAAGTCACTGTCTTAACCAAGGCTGAATGGCTGAGGATTCAGGATGAATTGAACCGGGTTAATAAAGACAAGGAGAGTATGAGAGAGGCAGCTAAACAGAGAGAGGCCCTGCACATGCAATCAAAAGAGGTGGTGAAGCTGTGGTCCAATACCTTCGCTGTAAGTTGCCTGCACGGGGTTCTCAAATGTAGTTTGCTTTCTTAAAATTAGATGTGCTTGTAAGGATGAAAAAAATCACAATATGCTGCAAGGAAGCAAAAGGTTAACACAGTCTATGTTTACATTTATCAAAGGGTCAAAGGCAAAAAAAGCTTGAGGCAAAGAAGATTCGGGAGCAGATTGAGGAGGAGAAAAGGAAACTGACTGATATAGAAGAGGCCAAATATCAGGAGCAGAAGCGGAAAGAGGCCATTCAAAAAGCCAAGACGCAGCTGTATTATCAAACCGACCGTGTTAAAGGATTACATGTTAGTCTAAGAATTGAGAATTATTGTGCCACTTGAACATGTTTGGCTATACATGTACATTGATGTTTTTGGGATAAAGCATGATTGTTACTACTCCCACAGCGTGCGCTCTTGCTGACAGAGGTACTGAAGGAAAGGGAGACTCAGATTGAAGTGAAGCAGAGAATCAAGAGTGCATCTAAAGACGTGGACAAAGAATTCATGAATATGGTAAAGGCAAGAGAGGACGAAGCCTTGAGACAGGAGCAGGAGAAAGCACTTGAGAAAAAGCTCAAGCAACAGGCTGTTGCAGAGGACCTGAAGCACCAGTAAGTCTCACATCAGATCCAAGAACCAGCTTTGAACATGCCAGGGATGCAACAGTTGGCAGGGTCTTCGCAGAAGTATAGATATGATGGTGCTCTCAATTTAAATGCATTACTGTTGTATGTAGTCTATTGTATGGTTAAATTGCATGAGAATATCCATTTAACATCTTATTTTGTAAGTGGAGTTATGGTGCTACCATGAACATATTTTGCTTCACGTCAGAGTGTGATTCTTTTTCTTTAGGATCATGGGAAATGAGCAAGTGAGAGAGCGACAGAAGATAGAGAACAAAAAGGATGGAGAGGAAACCCAGCGACTTCAAGAACTCTTTCAGTGGGAGCAAAGAATGGAGGAAGAAAGACAAGCACAGCAGAAGAGAAACCTTATGCAAGCTCACCTGGTAGGGTCTTAGCAGCACAGGGTATGTAGTTTTGTATGTGTGGTTTACTATAGATTACTCTGTATTTACAGGAACATATAACCAATAGGGACCTCATAAGAGCGACAGATGCACAAAAACAGGAGGCCGAAGAGGAGCAAAGGAAACTTTTTCTCTCTGCAAAACAAAAAATGATGAAGTTACGGAAAGACAAAGAAAGAGAATTGTTTAGGTAAGACCCAGCAAAACAATAAACACACACTGCAAAACTTCAAATAATAACCCAGGCTTTTTTTTGCCTAAATCAGTAATCTCACAGAACTTCTGTAAAAACCAGACCAGGCTTCTAACTGAGACCTGAGACAATGGGTTTTCACATCAATTAAATGGAGCTTTTTGGCATGGGAAACAGTCGTTTACATTGCCAAAGCAAAATGTTAAAATAAAAACATGTACATAAACAGAAGAATTGTGCTTTCATATATATATATATATATATATATATATATATATATATATATATATAGATATATATATAGATAGATATAGATATAGATATAGATAAGTAAACTAAGGTAGACGAAGTTTAAAAAAATACAAATAAGATATATAAAAGACTGCTACATTTAAAAATGTAATGAATGAAAATGTGTTTGTATCACGATCATACTTGTGAGTTGTTTCATTCTTCAGAGAGGCTCAGCTGCGCAGGGAAATGATCATGAACAAACTGACGGTTAAACAGCAGGAGCAAACTGTCAGCGAGGAGCAGAGTATCGCAAGGGCTGTCGCTGAGCGCGATGCAAAACAGGCACAGCAGCAGTGGGAGGAGGAGATGAAGAGGGCTACTATGTTGAAGTCAATCGTTGCACATAGAGAATTCTTGGTAACACAAGTTCATGTCCTGCAAAATACAAAGTTACCATAGTATAAAGCTTTTCTTAAGTCAGTAATATGAAAAGTGTTCTTGGTTACTTATGTAGTTTAAAAAATTGTAGATAATTATTTTCTTTTAAAGCTGCAGAGAAATCTGGGTTAATTTGAGGCTCGTGAAAAGTTCATCCACTTGTAACTAACACATGTTGTCACACCTGTAAAACAAACTGTGTTTCATCAGAGACAAGAAAAGGAGCAGAGGGACAAAATGGCAAAACAAAACACTCAAGACACACTTCAGGCCCAGAAAAAGGCTGACAGAATATTTTCTGAGAAACAACAACTAAAGGCTCTGAAGATCAAAGGAGATGGAAGAAAAGTACAAGAATTCAATGCCACACAGATGGTAATGTTGAAACTATAGTATCTCCACATCATTACAAACATGAACACTTTTGGTTTGTTCTGTGAAAGAAAACTTGTATGATGTTTATCTTTCATCTGTAGGCTGAAAAAAGTGCTAGGCTTCAGCAGCTGAGAAGAGAAGAACACGAGTGGGAGGAGAAGAACGCAGAGCTCATGGCTGAGGAGGAGAACCAGTTTCAACAGTATTCACAGCACATCATCAGGGCAGCGGCGGAGGCTCAGCGAAATGTGTTTCCACTTTGCAAAGCTGCGAGGGAAGGGATTGGAGCCGCTTCCAGTGCAGTCAGGCCCAGCTTCCTCGTTCAGGACCGTACTGGTGCTCAAATGCCAAAATATGTCTCCGGTGCCACCCAGAACATTAAAATGCTTAATGAGGCTGTAGATATTCAAGAAGCAAAGAGGAGACTTGGATTCACATGGTGATAGGTCACTCCCAGTTGCCAAATTTGGTTCTGAGAATTTTCCCCTAAATTTACCATCTTTGAACATACTGAATGTTTTAATAACGGCCTTAAAATATTTTGACAAAGGCTGTATCTAAAATCACTCCCTCATTCACTACTCCGTATGTCATAGACGCTCAATAGTTTGCTCTATTATATAGTATATGGGGAACTGTTTTGTGTAACCACATAGAGGTATAATGCAGCACAACACTCATATGTATAATATTTAAGTATGATGCATTGCATTGTGGGATTTAAATAGTGTCCATGGGGCATCCTACATGTTTAAGCAATGATCTAAACCGCAATATCCCATTTTGTGTGCAGCCAGTGACCCGTTGTTTCCATCTCGCTAATAAAAGGCAAAAAACATGCCCCATGTAACTAAAAAATACAAAAAAGTAGTCTCTATGCCATGGACATTTTTTGGGCACAACATAGTACAACCTTTTTAAACTTACAGTACACTGTACAGTATTTGGTAAATAGGGAGTGATTTTGGACTAAAACCTGTGTATATTATTTACAGTAATATGTGCTGTCAACATTCTCGCAATATTCTCTGAATGTTTCAGTCAGAATGCTTGACTGCTTATTATGGACTTCTGTAACGTTTCACACATTCTGTAGAGAAACTTATGGTTAACATTTTGAGGTTATTGTGAGATTGCAACACGTACATAATTGTTGTAGTTTGTAATGAATCATTCGTTATTTAGATGTTGTTAATCAACTACCCCAAGCAGAGAAGATCACTCTGGACTGTTGTCAACACTAAAACGAGTGATTAATCACCTCTGCAGTTCATTGAACCCGACACTGGATGACACAATGTTAACAGTACGGTGTAAATTTCATGTAATACCGATGTCACTGTTGGTTCATGTAATTTTGGATGCCAATCATGTTTGGGCCTCCAAAGGATAGTGTTTGTTAGCATTTATATAATATTACAACAATTGTTTAAAATCAAAGTGGAGCCTTTTATTACATTCTATACTGCAGTCGAGATCTTCTTAAAAGCAACTTGTACAAATCACAAATTATACAAATTGATTTAATATTGTACTTACAGCATGACATGTTTTTTCATTCAAAAAAAACAAACCAGAGGTATCTCAAAATCAGTTAACAAACAGGATTACAGTAAAATGCTGTGGATGTACAAAACAAAGTTATTGATGTACATATTTCGTCTAACATGGCAGGGATAAGCATGCAAGAAAGTATGTATTCTCTTCCAGATTGATTGTTGAAGTAAAAACAACTTGACAAGTTTGAATCACAGCACGCCAAACTTAGACGTCCTTATCCCCTAAACAAACTGTTAAATAACATTAAAACAAATTACCGGAGAAATCAGGGGGGAAAGACTTTTTTTTTTTTTTAAATGGATCTAAAGCCAAAAAATAATTTACCAAAGAACTCAAAACAAACAGCCTTCAAACTGACTCTCTGGTCAAACAAAAAAATGGTACTTTTACACACTGTAGGTGAACTGCTTTGCCAGTAACAAAGGCTTTTCTCTTAACTGACCACAATGCAGCTTCACCTACCCATCAACAGTGTAATGCACTTAATGGGGGACAAATCCACAACTTCCATTCATTCAGTGCCAAATTGAAGTCCACAGTTCAGCCAAAGCTCACATGGTTGCAAGTCAGTTTTGAGAATTAGCTTTGACAGAATTTGACAATTGTGTTAGCTTTGGCTGAGCTGTGGAGTGAGGGTTTTGCACTAAATGAGGAATGTGAGTTAGTCCCACTGTGGATGGAAAGCTGGTGCTGCATATGTGTGTGTGTGTGTGTGTGTGTGTAATGGGTAAAAAGATATGGACAGACAGACTTCAAAACTCCCAATCTCTTCCTTTAGGATCTCATCACAGGCTCAGTCGCTGTCAGAGCTAGAGCTTGATTTATTCCTCTTGCTGTCGTTTCTGTCTCTGCCTTTTGTACTATCAGGTCTTGGTTTTGCCGGGCTTCTTCGGTCTTTGGATTTGGAAGTACTTTTTGCTCGGCTCCATTTGCGTTCTGGGCTTTTTTGACTCTTCCGTTTGTCGTCTCTATCAATCTCAGTGCTGCTGCTACGTTTTCGCCTTTGGTTGGCAACTTCTCTGTCTCGGTCCTTTCTATAAGATGACCCGTCTTTGCTGTGGTCTCTCTTGTTACTCTTGCTCCTGGAGCGCCTGCTTCTGTGCGAGTCTCTTGGCTTGTTTCTATCTGGACTTCTTGTTCGAAATTCCTTGTCCCTGGATGTTTGGCGCCTCTTATTCTCCCTTTCGCTGTTGTGTCGTCTTTCCTGACTCCTGCTACGTTCTCTGCCCCTCCCCCCTCTGTCCTTTTCTCGTTTTTCTTCTTTGTCTTTTGATACTGCAGGTCCACTCCTTTCCCTGTTCCTGCTACCTGATCTGTACCCATCTTTTGTAGTTGTTCTTTCCTTGCTTTGAGACTTTGCCCTAGTTCTCTCACCATTTCTTCCTTTGGTATCCTCTTTATGCTTTTTATCAGACTCTTGGCCCTTATTTCTATCTTTATTATGATCAGATTCTGACTCCTCTTTTTTATTAGCATTTCGGTCTTTGCTCCTTGAGAGACCTCTCCTGTCATCACTTTTGTGCTTCTGAGACTTTTCTCTGCTTTTTGACCTCCTACTCTTTTCTCTGCTTTTACTGCGGCTTTGAGACTTTTCTCTTTTCTTTGCCTTGTGTTTGCTATGCTTCTCATCCTTCTCAACAGCACGGTCTTCTTTGCTTTTGGACCTATGTGACTGAGTTTTCTTGTCTTTTTTACCCTCAGCTGAGTGTTCATGCTTTGAGTCGGAGGTCCGTCTCTCTCTTCTTGGAGGTTTAGCGGCCTCATCCATGTCACCTCTGTAAAATAGTGCAGTCAATGTAACCTACAGAACATGACAACTATCAAGTCAAATGACAGCGTTCAATTATGTTCTGAGCCAATTGTTATATTCTATTCTGCCTATTCAAACAGGAACGCTTCAGATTTTTAATGTAGCTGTCCAAACTGATTCGTGCTTCAGTTACATTTGTAACTGCGTCCACAAAATTTACGTTTCACTTAAGCATGCAAGTACATTGTGTTCTTGGCTGTGAGCACTGACAAAAACACCTCAGGCTGGCTAAAACAGTGTTTACATACTGCTGAATATGTCAAAATGAGGTTATCTTACCGGTCACCCTTGATCCAGCGCTCTCCAGTGAGTGGCCTCATCCTTTGACGGTTCATCTCCTGACGCCAGTGTGGAGGGGTTTCACTGCGGCGAAAACGATCTCTGGACCTTGAACGAGAGCGTGACGGAGTCCGATACCGCTGGATGGGAGAAAAGACAGACACCTTACAAAACTGAAATTAAAATGTTTAGAAATGGTGAAATTACATGACAGTTAATAGACACAGTATGAATTGTAGGGGATGGTGGAAAAAAATCGGTTCTTTGATGCATCCCGATGCAGACGTGGAAGATTCTGAATCCATTAACAAATGTCGATTATTAAATGTTAATTCATAACGCAATGTTGATGGAACGCAAAAGGCGGAACTTGCGGAGGTGCAACGGCCGGATCGCCTGTGGCGTGCACACAACAGAGACCGGTGCGGAATGAATGACTACTTAAATGTCACACAATCATTAATATCAATGAACAAGTGATGATTTTAACTTGCACACTGTGGCGAGCTCTCTGTGTATCCTGCAGAATATGACAGTGAAAGTTAGTGGAGAAAAATATTAGCAATAACTTTAAGTCTGGTAGTAAACGTGCAGTGTAGTTCACAGTGTGTCCGTTAATCAACATATTGTTGTTTCCCCAACTCCTGGAAAAGTGAACATCAGGTACAAGCTTGGACTAAACTGGTGTACAGCTTTGTCCTATATACATACATACATACATACATACATACATACTGTAAGTTACATCCTGATAATTATATTTCAGTTTTCAGGAGTCTGACAACTGGTAATTAAAGTAATGAAAGTTGTGACTATGGAGCTGAGGTTAATGAAGTAAATTAGGGATGCAGAAAAATACTGTTTAATGAGGGGAACTCTCATATACTACTCTTTGTGTGCATGAGGGGTGAGAGATATCTGCATTGGCTGTAAAGTCCTTTCAAGCTAATTAGGAGATCTTTCTTTTGAATTTTAGTGCACAAATTAAATGCTTAGTAACTATCCAGAAAGATACATCAAGATAATCGTTTTATAAATCGCATCGCAGCCCTCTGAATCGTAATCGAATTGTGAGGTGCCAAGAGATTCCCACCCCTAGGGAGTTGTGCACCTACCCTTGGACCCCTGCCTTTTATCTTCCTCCCGGATCGTGTCATCACTAATCTCCTGTGAAACGCTGACTGAGAATTAAATGAGCCAGTACTAGAGACAGAAAAAAAACAAGTTGTGAAAATTAACAGACAACTGCATGTTTAGAGTTTTGCTATAACATGCCGTTTGTCAAGCAGACTTACCTCTCTCTCTGCCTTTCCTCTTTATTTCGCGGCTCCTTTTCTGGCTCCTCATTTGACTTCTGGGCCAGCTGGGGACTCCTCCTCATGAGGAATCGATTCTCTGGGATGGGTGGAATTTCCTCAGGACGTACAGTAGATGTAACCAACTCTTCTTGTTCTTTCTCTTCAGCACTTTCAGCCTCTGACCTAGGAAAGCATTGCAGCTCAGAAAATAAGACACTAGGTACGGTTTACACTGCAGACAGTGAAAATAAATGGAGGTACCTTTTCTTTTCCTTCTTCTTCTGCTTCTTTTTTAGTTTTTTCACCTTCTTTTTCCTCTTCTTAGATTCTTTCTCTGATTCTTCAGAATCAGAGGAGGATGCGGATGAGCTCGCAGAGTCGGTGGAGCTACTGCTGGAACTGGAAGAGGCCCGCTCTTTCTTTTTTCCATCTTTCTTTGCTGCAAACATTTAAGAGTCTGTCAGAAGCACTTCTATAAAATCTAAAAACAATAACC